ATATTTAAGCGTGGTTGAGGAAAAATTAAAGCAGTTTCCAGCAAATACAGCAGGACATACACTTCGTAAAATTATGCACATCATCATGAAATGAGACCCCATCGAGAGAAGAAAAGAACGTAATAAACTGAGTTTTTCAATATAGTGGAAAAAATAACAAGGACGCAAAAAATTCTCTGGTTTACCCCCATACAATTTTTGCGAATAATTCTTTAAATATCCCTGGGACAGAATAGTATCGTAATTTTTCCAAGTACGTGATTTGGCGAACTTGGAACTCCGTCTTCCCAGCATTTGAACGTGGATGCGGAAAAATTGTAAAAGGTTCAGGAAATACTGCATTTCGTAAAATTATGGACATCTTCATACTATGAGACTCCAACGAGGCAAGCACAAGAATCTGAAAGAACTAGTGATTTTTTGTTGTTGTTTATATACATGCATGGAGACAAAAATGTTCTGATGATGGACCCCCATCAGGAAATTTCTGCTGCGGACTTGAATGATCAGCAGTAAATCGACCAGGGGTTTAAAAAGCTGTTTTTTCTACTTGGATTCGAATATATTGATCTGCTCGATCCAGGTGCTGACTTTCGAGTTCGAGAGACATTGGGAACCCATCGGAGACTACACAGCACCGGAAGTAGATCCCTTGTTGGACATGCTGGAGCACATGGACGTCTCCGTGTTGACGCACTTCAAATTCCTTTGCTACCCGTTCCAAGGAGGAATCCTGGCATTGCGGATCAAAGCCTTCAGGAACTTGAGGTATATTGCAGAATACCCTTCATATTTACGTGAAACTTCCCTTTCTAGTCGAGTGGCAAACAATAGGGGGGGCTGAAGAGAACGCTGACATCAAGGGTCAATACAGTCGGAAAAAGCAGAGTTCAAGTGCCTAGCAACTGCCTGGTTTTAATTAAGAGTAAGCCCTCGAGGGCCTCGAGTGGATCAAATGAGTTCCCCTCAGAGATGCCTGACTCGGCACTAAATTCCGCGACACGCAAGGGGTATGATGAGAAAAGGCGTAAAAGGTACCCGCGTTTATATACTGCATTTCCTCTCGGTTCCTCTTCATCTTACCCATTTCCTGTTCCCCGCTTTTCCGGATGCAGAACTGCTCGGGACTCGAACGCGCGTTTCCCCAGTATTTCCGGTAAATCCACATGTTTTCGTTCTCTCTCTCGGGTCAGGGGCGACGATTTTTTTTTCGTTTATTCCTCGTCATCGCCTTCATGCAACATGGATTACTCTCCTTTGAAGGAGAATTGAATTTCCCACGAACCGCTTTCGCTGCTGGTCAAGTGTACCATTATTACTTGTCTATCGAAAGGCTTTCGAGAGGGGCAGCTAGAAAGTTGAAAACGAACTTGGGATGTTCGTAAATGCGGGTGAATGATGACGAGATAAAGTATTGTCCATCATCGGAGGGTTATTTTAAGATTAGAACTTTCGGAAAGCCGGCTGTCGAGGAAGAAATTTCCCGGAGGGATGGAAATTGGATCCGAAAGAGTTTTTATAGGTGCAGGAGAAGGGCGAAGTGGTCCATTGTGCGCAAGATGAGAAGTTTCCAGGGTGCATCGAATAACCATGAACCTCGTATCGATTTCTGCAGATGGCTTCTTGAAAATCTGCGAGTGAGCTAGAAGATTTTATCTCCTTCACGAGTAACAGCCTTTCTACATCGATTTTTTACTACTAGAGCTGTATCAACCTAAGTGATGTAGCAGCACACGCAAAAAAAGAAATTTCCCTGCAAAATCAAGGCAGAAAAGCTGGGTACGCTTGCTATATGCGCCGGGTATAAATTTTTTGAAGCAAAATATTATGAAATCAGTGATGCAAAAAAAGAAGTGCTTCTTTGTACAGGTGCAAATAATGTGCGGAGATTTAAGTTTACCGCAAATCCAGTTCAAGTGCTTTATGTTATTACAGTCAAACCTCTCTATATGTTCGCCGAACTTCAAGGGAGTAACAGCAAGAACATTTGAGTTTGGGAGATTTTGAGTTGAGAAACGAAGCATTTTTTTTCTTGGGGGAAAGAAAAACAATTTACAGGAAATTAGTGATATCCTGGGCCTCAAATTGCCTCTGAATGAGTTGACAGGATGCTGAATTTCGAGGCAAGAGTTCATTTGCCCAATTGGTCTTTCACTTTTTTCAAAGTAATGTAGCAGGTTACATTTTTAAAGTTTTTCTTTTTTGTGTGTCATTAAAATAATGACCAAAAGGCCTCCAGAAAATTCCACTTATAAGGTTTGAGGGGAAAGCCTCTGAGTTAGGGAGGTTTTTAATGCATTGATTTAGAGAATTCAGAAAGGGATTAAAAAAATTTGACACAGGAAGCTATTTGACTTAGGGAGGTTCAAGTTATCAAGGTTCAAATGTTTATTTATTTATGAGATATTTTGTCCAACATTCTCGTATTCTGGAAAAAAGTTTGATTTTCAGCAATGTAAAATGGGGTGCACATCTCATATGTGGGAATATATTTTTGGCAAATTGTATGAAAAAAAAACTAAACTGCTCATCTTACTCCAAGGTGCATTGTACTTGAGTGAATGCAGCACATAATGTATTGACCCAGCATAATGTTCCTCTTTTTGAAAATAAAAATACAGGTGAACCTTGATAACTCAAACCTCTCTAAGTAAAATACCCCCTCCCCTAAATCAAATTTTCTGTGGTCTGTTGGCCATTATTTTCTTGAAAATAAAAACGCAATAAAAAACCAAAATTTATGTGTTTTAAAGCAAGTGAAAGACCTAATTGGGCAAATGAACCCCTGCCACCAAGTTCCTTGTAACTAATTTCAGAAGCCATTTGAGCCACAGAATACTGTATTCCCATTTACAATTTTGGGAATTTTTCCAAGTTTCCCAGAATAAAAAGGCTCTGCATTGTATATAGCTCAAACCTCTATAATTCAAAATCCCCCTTAAAAAGTTGAAACCTCCCTGAGTCGAATTTTTTTTCTGGTCTCTTGAAATTCAACTTAGACGAGAGGTTTGACTGTATAGAAGGGTAATTTTTCCAGACATGATGCTGTTATTTCATTTTATTTTTCCAGGCATTTGTCACTCCCCTTCTTTGGGGATGACAAGCTGATGAGCGTGGTGGGAAACAACTGTGAGCACTTAGAAGAGGTGGATGTCTGGCACTCAGTTCTTGTGACTGACAAGGGCATAGCAAGGTTCTGTCTGAAGAAGTGTGTGTATACCAGGAACCTTTGGGCTAAGGCTCTCAAAGGCATCAGATCCCTGCACCTGTCAGCAGTCAGGTCCCAGTATGAAAGTTTATCCAGTGGCAGAAAGTCCAGGAAGTGGCTGCAGCAGGCTTATGAAGAAAATGAACTGAATATTTGCCTGAAGAAGCTCTCTTTGGTGGACCTCAGAGATACATCTGTGACCAAGGATGGGCTGCAGTTCTTGCAGAAATATTTGAAAGAAGATTGCCAAGTTTTGTTTGGCCCCAAAAGAATGTGACACTTGTTTTCCTCATCAAAGACGGTAATAAACTTTTCCAACAATCATTACTTCGGTAGTCTTTCATTCCCTCTTCAAAATGTTTTCTTGACCAAGGCGGATACTGCTGCTGAATGCAGGTATACTGTATACAGTATATCCACTCTTGTTACATAAGTGCATGTACAGGACGGAAAATAAAAGGTCTTCCATTCAATGGCGTTTGGAAAGTTTTCCGCGAGAAGTAGATATGATAACTTCCTACGATTCGAGGAATGCATTTTCTTGGAAATGCCGAAGCAAATGCTGGATATATCCTCCAGGGAAAATCAGTCAATCCGGAAGCAGGAATTCGATTAAAACTGCGCAAATATAAAGTATCCATATGCACCATATTCTATATACAGTACTGTACTGTATATCCATCTGAGAATGAACAATAATTTCTGAGGAAAACGATTTTTAGTTATGTTCCAGTATCCAGAGCTCGAAATCAATTGCGTGTGCTTTTAATGAAACTGAGTTATGCATGGACTGCAGCCGAAAATATATTCGGCCGCCATGAACCAGGCGTATTGTCGCTTGGATAAGGAAGCTCTGCAGGTAAATCATGATTTATCTTAGTTCCTGAGCTGATGTGATGCCTCGTCTAACCAACCCACCCACATTGCATGCAAGCACCGCCACCTCTTCTCGCTGTTCCTCCAAGGGTTGCTTACCATCGTACGGACGACTCGAGGCGGAATAAATCAGCTACTCTCGAAAATATTTGTGGCTCCAAAAATGCCTCGAACTCATCTTAAATTTTTTAAATGTTTTATAAATGTTCTAAAAATACGAATATTTTCATTCAAAGCTCATAAGATTCTTTTGACACATTTTTTCAACTTGTGCGGAAGTGTTAGCCAACGATTGATGCATGTTCGCACGGCTTGAATATCGATAATCATGTAAGGTTGTTCGGACTTCGCATGGGCACGTGGTTGTGTGATTTGTGATGCATTGCGCTTCAGAAAGTTGATAAATTGTCATAGGGCTTGACGTTCATTTGGTGGATCGTCTGAATGCACCGGTCGGCGCATGTTCCTGATTCTCCTTGTATGAGAAATGACGCTTGTCTTATAAACGTAGTAGCGATGGTGTGACGCGATAAGCTGCGTGCGTCGCGTTCGAACCAATTTATTCCTATTTCCCATTCCAGCGGTGTTCCGTGCGGATGTACGTGTCTATGTGTTCGTTCCATCGCCTCACAACAAACTGCTCGGTACTTTGAACATTGTCTTTACACGCGTTAACGCGTTCTTGTCGTACCGCGAATGTGGTGTAAATTCCCGCAACTTCGAGTGAATCTTGGGAGTTTGTTTTTCCGTCGAGCTGCGGCTTTCCTATCAATTTTCCAATCCCTCTCCTATCAATTTGTGTGTAGGATTGACCCCCCATTTTTTTGGCCGTGTTTCCTCTTTCTTCGGTCGTAACACGTGAAATACTGTACTGTACTTCCACCGGTTCGTTCGTTTAATCTTGAAGTTGATCGTTAGGGATTATCTTTTTGAAGAATTAGTGAGTGTTGGAGGATGATGCGTGGAGTGTGGAGCCTCGGGGGGCTGGTGACGCGGGCGGTGCGATTTGCGTGGCGCGAATCTGCTACGGAAGCCAGCGACGACACCGTCGAAGGACTGAGGCTCGTACACGCCGTCGCAGGCTTCCCCAAGGACCAAGTCGACGCTTGTCGCGATGGACGATGTGGCGACGATGCCTACTTCTTCGCCTCCAACGCTCACGCTGACATCATGGGTGCGTTCTTGCTGATTGTCTTAATCGTTGTTCTTCTGAAATTGCGGAACTACGATGCTGATGCCGCTTCAGTGCGCCTTCAACGCCAGCATCCGTTTTCCTCCATTTTGAAGTTGTTGATCACAGAACGCGCATCTGTTTGATTTATCGGCTCATGGAATGTATTTGTAGCTCGGCACTGTGATACTGCACTTATGAACATTAGCACTCATCCGGTAACGCATTGTAAATGTAGTATCTTTAAACTCAACATCCTGTGAAATCAGAAAAAAAGACATATGTACTTATTAGCCTCGTATTTTATTCTGAAACCTTGTTAGAGTCTGACCATGGTTTTTACTTCCTGATACCTTTTTCATGGGGAAGTTTCAACTCAATGCAGCTGCCAGTTGAAAAAAATGTGGAATTAAAGCAAATAACTAGAAATAAAGTAAGAGGCTTCATCTTGGATTACATCCTACAACATTTGGGAATGCGATAATTCTTCCCGATAACAAAATTTCATTGATTATGATATCTCCAAATCTTTGATTTTGCTTTTTCTCTGTGCAAGAATTCAATCGGAAAATGAATGGACGATCACGGCATAAATTTCTGATGTAATTGATAATAGTTTCTGCAGTGTTATTCACGTGTCGGAGCTCGTTGATTCGTCCGTGGGGTCACAAGGCTGTCGTCAGGATAAATTGAAGATACTGTACATATTTAATTATCATTTCAGTGACATAAGAGAGGGTATTTTTTCTGGGAATCGAAAAAGCCGCATGTTGTTGATGATTCCACATTGATACTGAAGTTTCGAAAAGTTTCTGCAGGGATAAATAAGTATCATCTCCAAAGTGCTGCTGCGCTCAGTTCCTGAGAACTGCGTTTGCTCTTCAAATAATCAATGTTGAACTTTGCGAATGACGGACGAATGACGCAGGAAAGTCCAGAGTGCCAAAATGCGCTAGACACGGAATATCAAAATTGTAATAGATCCTTCTCGGTTACGAAGGATAATGCAAAACGCATAGGGATTGAGTAGGTTTTCAGTATGAAGAATCGGATTGGAGAAAAATGCTTGGTTGTACTGTATTTTTTATTTGAACAGTACATCGGTGTATTCTATTTGTACTTCATTTCGGATTTTAGTGATGAAACCGCAGGAGGGAATTCTTCTGTCTCCGGAAACTTCCTTCTTGTGTACTGTCTACAGTAATGTTACCGTATTTCTTTTGTAGGTGTGGCAGATGGTGTTGGTGGGTGGAGGCAACAAGGGGTAAACCCGGCTGCATTCTCCACTGCCCTGTTGCGGATAGCGAAGCGACTTGCTGAAGCTGGCCGAGCACCACCGACGTCCCCGAAAACATTGCTTCAACTGGCTTTTATGGATGTTCGAGAGACCAAGGGTGATGCGTTCGGTGGGTGAAGTGTTCGGATACTTTCAAACAAGGATTTTGAACTTGCTCACGGAATATAATTCGTTCAAGGCAAAGTAGTGTTGAAATGTTTCCTGCTGTCTACTAACTACACTCGAACCTCTTCAAGTCGAACTTCAAGGGACCTGCAAACAAATTTGAGTTAGGGAAACAAACATTTTTGTTGCGGGAAAGAAAGGAGAATCGCAGGAAATTGTAATCGGTGATATAGTATTCGATGCATTGAATGATTTGACAGGATGCTGAACTTGGAGGCTAGGGTTCATTCGCCCAATTCGTCTTTTGTTTTCTTTCAAAACACATCACAATACATTTTTATTGCTTTTCTCTTTTCGTTGGCAATAACATAATAGCCAAAAAACCTCCAGAAAATTCGAGTTACGGAGATTTGAGGAGGAAAGCCTCAGAGTTTAGGGAGGCTTCTAAATTTTTTTGAGAAAATTCAGGCAGGAACTTGAAAAAATTCCACGTAGGAAGGTACTGTTTTTGACTTCAGGAGGTCCGAGTTATTGAGGTTCAACTGTACTTTGAGCTTTATAATTTCAAAATTATTTTTGGGGACCATTTCTACCGTATTTAAGGCATTCGCTGGGAATTGAGTAGAGCCGCAAGAGTTGCATAATATGAAAAATAAAATTCCTGACCCGTCAAAAGTTTTGCGGAACCATGTATGCAGATATCTACGTTTTGAATAAATTCTATGTAGGGACTGTAATGCAAGTGGGTCACGAAGTTCGCGTTGAGAAGCCGCCGATTTGTTTCAAAAGATTTCCCTTGTCCATGTGAAGAAAATTTCCGCGCGCGACTGGTTGAGAAGCCTTTGGTGTCTAAGCGTTCTTCATCGTCGATCGTTCAAGTCCATGCCATGTAGTTCTTTTTTTTTTTTCAACAGGCAGTAGCACAGCATGTTTAGTGAGCTTGGATCGCCAGTCCGCTATATTGCACACCGCGAACCTGGGCGACTCTGGGGTGATGGTGGTGAGGAATGGGCGCCTGGTATTGCGGTCTCAGGAGCAGCAACACCAATTCAATACTCCGTTCCAGCTTTGTCATCCTCCTCCTGGGTTCTATCTCATGATCAGCGACAGGTTTGTCGACGTTTCTTCTTGGAATATTCTTCGCAGGCGCGCATTCAACAGAAAGAAGCTCATCAAAACGTCTTGACTACTCTGAAAGCAGTTATCTCCTTGCGAGCCTCGATACATAATGAGTTTCAATTATCCCAAATGCTTGATTTCCGTGTATCGTGTGCCGTATTTACTCGAGTACCACGCTTTCCATTTTTCTCGAAATTGAGAAGAAAGAAGGGGGTGCGCGTCGTAGGTGGAGATACATTTTTGGAAGTTTATTTGTGTGTATAATTGGAAATTTTTTGACGTACATCTCTTAAAATCAATGCACTTGAAAATCAATTGAATTCAGGCTGGATTCCTGTTCAAATTTGAATTCTGGTGTATCTTACTTTTAAAATACCCGTTTTTCAGTCACTGAAAATAGGGTGCGCGTCTTCTCGGAGATGAGATTTCATCACAATTTTGGGGTGGAAAATCGGGTGGCGTGTGGTACTGGATGAAATATGGTAATTTCAATTTGTGTTCATTAAGAACAAATTGCATACGCAATAATACATGTACACGCATTCTACAACGATTTCTCTGTTCTGTATAACGCATTTTTTGTAGTCCTTGGATTCTACGGCGAATTTTTTTCTGGTCCCCTGCATTTCGTTTTAGGGAGAGCCCACCTGTGTTGTGATTTATAAGATCCCCAAGTTTGAGGCCGGCGGTGTTACTGTATTGCATATGGAAATACTGTGTGTTCTGTACGAACTGTGTTTGTGGAGATGCATGGTTTATGCACTGTATGATTTAAATTGAAACTGCAGTACAGTATAAATCATCCGCGGTACGCTATTGTAACTTTCCGTGTTGAAACTCAGTCTGCCAACTCGCACCCAGCGCACCCATGTATGAAAATGAAACCTGATTTGTGATTGGTTGTTGCAGTCCGGAGAACGCGGAAGGCGTGTCAATGGCAGTGATACCCGGAGATGTGATCCTGGTGGGAACCGATGGGGTGTTCGACAACTTACCAGACTCGTGGCTCGTACCCAGGCTTTCTGCCCTGCATGCTTCCTACGCCGATGCAACTGCTGTGCAGGAAACGGCCGATTTGATTGCTCGTCGTGCACACGAATTGTCTCGAGATGCCAATTACGCATCACCCTTTGCAGTAAATGCCCGTGCTGCTGGCTTCATTAATGAGGTACAGTAATTTATTGCACGTTTTTAGCAGTGTTGGAAGCTCTGTTTTGTTCACTTGGAGTACGATTTATGGAATTTATGCTGTAGTTCAATGCTGCCCAACATACAGACTTTTCATCTGTCTCGGGGTCCCTACCCAATTTCAAGGTGACGGTAATATATATTCAGAACGGAATTTAAAATGTTGCTCCACACTTGAAAAATTCCATAAGGTCTAATGCTTGTGATTCAATGCATAGCACTGAAATAAATTTGGAACTCTTCATGTATTTGGGTAAATTTCGACCCTCACAGTAGTCTGATACAATTATTTCTTGTAGTCACTGTTCTGTTGATTGAGAAAAGTGTTTGTTAGCGAGTGGGGGGTTTTGTTTGAAAAAATTCATGAAAATTTTATGTTGTTTTTCAGGTCGGAGGGAAGATAGACGACATTACCGTGCTTTTGGCGACTGTTGCTGCAGGATCCCCGAAGGAGAACCTGTAACTTGATCGGTTCTTCCATGGTTCGTCGAGAAAATTTTGTCTCTTGACATTTTTTTTGGGAAAACCAAAGCAGATCTAGGAAGGCCTGGGCATTTCTTGTGTGCGAAATTCAGGACACTATTAGTCACATTGAGTAGACACAGTCGGACACATGGAAGTTAGCACGTGAGATGGAGATGATTTGGTTTTGCAAACCATGTCCAGGTGGCGCTTCTGATGCTCAGCTGCTGTGAGGCAAGCATTCAACACTCTTGCTCTCTTGGTTTGACTTGTGTTTGTTGAAGAAGTGCAATATGAACTTTTCTATTCTCTTCGCATCGACGCAGTTTTTTTTTCGTGTAGATTTGCCAAGGTACATCTGAGGCAAACTGAGTGAGGCCACATTTTGGTCGGAAGAGAATCTCGTAAAAAACGCGTCAAATTCCAACTTTACAAGTTCTGTTTTGCCGAAATATTTCAGTTGCGTCGCATCTGAAGTATTTGAAAGCGTGCACTCAGAAAATACTCTTGTTTGGGTCTGAGCCTAATTCTCCTGAAATGTGGAGGACTTTACGCGGCTGCATTTGTTGGCCCGTGTGTTGTGGTTGTTCCGGTGATACGTAAATTATTTCTGAACATTTTGACGTTCATCTGGAGTAGGCTGGTGATAAGCAATTTTACCATGTAGGTGACCTCACTCAGTGAACAACTGCTTCTCTTTCTTGAGGCTCATTGAAAAGTGCAATCTGTTGGTTAGTACGACTTTTTTGCGAGGAATCAGGTCCAGGATCTTTTGCAATTGATTTTTTGAACAAAGCCTGTGGTGCTGCCATGCGGCGTGTATAGAAAGTGTCTTGTGCTGGAAATTGTGGGTATTTTTGCCGGGAGTTGTGAAGAATTAAAGGAAGATTTCTCAGCCATGGCGGTGACACTGTTTTTCATGCTCTGTTTATCCCGTCTCGGAGAACGGAAGCCAGTTGACTGCGTTAAAGGATTTGCATAATGGGTTCATGTGACTTCCAGATGTCTTCGGGGACTGGACTGGTTTTTTTTCTTTCGACGAGGCATTCTTTCACAAATTTCGTGATTCTCGGGTATGGATGGCGGTGAGAGGAAGTTACGGTTTGGTGGGAGTTCTGGGTCGCATGGTCTTGTTTCCACGCTTTATTGGTACGCAAGGTTGCCATCTTCTCTAATGTGTACCTGCGATATTACCGTGTGGGGAAATCCTGGGCTCGTTTCCCGCGCACGTTCACACGATGGAAGTGAAACAATCACGATTTCCCGACTTCACAGGGCTGTTATTATCCGGATAATGTGAATTGGAATCGGGGAGTGAGCTCCTGGTATTCACTCGTGGATCAGTTGCATTTGGGAATAATGCACTTCGATATCGAACTTATATCACTACTGTATCAGATTCCGTTGATATATAACTTAATCGATCTGAGAAATCTATTCAAAACACCCTGGTTTTTATTCAAGCGTGACATCGCACCTATTATTTCTTCTGCGATCTGGATTTGAACAAAATAATAATTCAAGCAATATTTGTTGGATTAATTGAAGTGATTGAGGGGGCTTTTGTATCTGTCTGCTATATGCTTAATTCGGAGATTCTTTCGGACATCTTGCAACTGATGAGAATGTTTCAATGAGCATTCTTTAAATTTAGATGAATGAATTGAACAGGTGAACTCTCTGCAATCTCTTCTGCATAACGGATTTTGTGTGGTCTCATAGGATCCTTTATTATGAGTCCCAGGTAACTTCCTTTACAACGAATTTGTTGCTACAATGGATTTTTTCTTGCTGGTTCTGTCACTTTCTGCAGAGGGGCACTGTAAAATAATCTTGTTATAACAAACTGATTTTCTTTTAAAATCACAGTACAACGAATTTTTGCCTTTGTGCAGTAAAGTTTTTTTTTTCAACTGGCACTGTGGGAAAACCCAACTTTTGTGTCATTGAAAAACCTTGAAAAATGTAGATGGTGATGTTTTTTGTGCAAGAAAATTTAGCACTGCAGGAAGTCGGTAATCTGGGAAATTCTTCACAAATATGTCATGGAAATTACTTAATTTAAATCAATTATTGCCTTTTGTCCACAAAATTTCAGTCCTGTGCACTCAAAAATCCAGGAATCTCTTCATGAAGAGTTTTTTTTTCATCATGAAGAATTTCTTCTGAGGTCTCTGGGTGTTCATGGTAACAAGAGTTTACTGTATGATATTTATGTGTTGTCTAAAATAAAATTATATCTAGAACAACTTTTTTTGTGGGCCCATTCTGAGTTTTGTTGTGGAGAGAGAGTCCACCAGTAATATGCAGTATTTCCTTTTCATCAAGGGACAATGTCTGTGCTGCTCAGCATTATCACAATGCTTTCTTTTGTAAAATTGCCCCAAGAATTGGGAAAGGCGTAAATCAAAACTTCCAGTATCAAGTGAGAAGATTTTTCTTTTGTTCTCCATTTCGTACATCTTCAGGATCTGTGAAACAGTAATATAGAATAAGACTTGAAGCACTCATTATCTTGGTTGGGCATTTATCTTTTTCCATTGCAACCTCCAATTCGACATCTGGCTTATCAGTTAAATTGCAGCGGTATCCATCACGTAGTGAGTATTATACTGACATCAAGTATATTTTATTTAGACTAACCCAGTTGATAGTTACGTTGAATAAACATCAGCACCCACAATATACAGTATTTTCCTTCCATGCGAATGCTGTAGTTGAATTCACTTACATAAGGGGAATGTTTAATGTTGAGGAAAAATATTGACAAAGGCTTTAGTTGTCCCCACAGTGCTGCTAATGGCAAGTTTCCAAGTCACAAAACTTGCAGAAGGTGCATTGCATTTTATGGCACTTGAACAAGCATTAGCACTTCTAAAATTAGACTTATATTCCCGCGGAACTCCAAGCCCTCGTACTGCTGTACTGTACAAGACAAGTAAATTTTTGTTATACTGTAGTGATGGATTTTTTGTAGTGTCGTAAAATTTCGAGTTCGTGGCAGGGGATCTAAGGCTTTAAAAATATCATAACTGTGGCAGGAATTTTCAGTATTCATTGCCGCAAATTGCTTTTTGAAAGGTTTTTCACGGTTTCATTAGCGATGATACTGTATCTGGGTTTTACAAAATTTTCTTCGAAAATATCTTGCCGTTTATGGGCACTGTTCACAGCTGCCGTGTCAAGAATGTTACTCAAGACAATATCTCAAATTACACCGCTTCATGACAAGAGAACCTGTTCGAAATCATTTCGTGCTCGGAACATTTTAGTTGATTCTCTCATGGATTTTATGCTGGGAAACTATTATTTTGTTTCATAATGCGTATATGATTTGGTGAGATTTTAAGAAATTAATCTCTTACTTGGAAAACGTTCCTCTCAATTAAGTGCTTCATAGTATTCCAGGAATAAAAGTTTGCCTTGTGTCCTCGCTCCTCGGCAATTTTTTTACATGTGATGAATTCCGTTCGAATTTTTTTTTCTACCGAATAATTCAAGTTCAGAGTCATGAAATCAAGTTTCATTAGATCTATAATTAGACACAGAAATGAAATTACAGAATGACTTATCTCTGTAAAACACTTCTTGTGATGTCGTTTATCAGCAATGATAGAAAGATAATGTAGTCTTATCCGTACTGTATATATGAGGTGGAATCGATCGCAGGCTCGGAATCCAGTATACAGTTGAACCTTGATAAATTGAACCTCCCTAAGTCAAATTTTTTTTCAAAATCACTGTTTGAATTCCCTTGAAAACAATGTACTGTATTAAAAACCTCCATAACTCAGTGTTTTTCTCTCAAACTTCCTCCAAATTTATTCGTAGCATTTTGGTCATTATTTTCTTGATTTTCTTGATTCATGAAAGAGAAAAGCAATAAAATAAGTACAGTGGTAGCTTGATGTGTTTTTAAAAGAAGTGGCAGACTAATTGTAAAAATGAACCCCTGCCTTCAAGTTCAGCATGCTGTAAACTCATTTAAGAAGTACAGGAATTACTAAGGTCCAAAATATCACCAATTACAACCTCCTGCAATTCTTCCATGTTTCTTACAAATAATGCTTGTTTCCCTAACTGGAAACCTCCCTCAGTTTCCTGGTCCCTTGAAATTTGACTGAGAGAGTTCCAACTGTACTTTTTACAACTTCAGAAGCTGAATTTGCAGTGATAAGAATTTTTTGCTGAATTAAAAAAATTAAACCTACCATTGGTATAAAATTGTTGTAGAGGCTTTAAGAGCTTGTCTATTTTTCAGGGAAATGAGGTCCAGCATGCAAAGGGTTAATGCCCCGTTCTTTAAAAAAATGACTCATGCAATGAACAAGGACCCATATAATTACCCACACTTCCCAGAAAAGTTCCTCCGACTGCGAAGTAGCAGTTTGCATATTGGGGACACGCCGCGGTTTTTCCAAGCAGTAAAATTCCAGGTTACCAAGTTTTGTGGTTCCCTGGGATATAAGGGTTGTGTACAACTTTGGTGCATATGCTGTTTACTGGGGTCGTATTTGTAGTGTATTGTTCGCGAATTGAAATAACGTGGCCAGAATCTCTTACTGTTAAATTTGAAATCAGATTGGTGCAAGAGATTCGTGTTTTTCTGAATTTTGATAAAATCCATTGGCAAAAGTTCTCTGAACAAAATTTATCGATAAGGAGAAAGTGTCTTCCACGAAACAATTCGTTTCATGCAACAAATTCTCAAAGCAAAAACGCGGAAATATCAGAGGGAGTTGAATTTCAATTTTAAGATGCATGTTAAGATGTGAAAAAAATTTGCAAATTATAAAATGAGTGAAAATTTGTTGCCTTTTTACCCCCCCCCCCCCACACACACACACAACATTCCTGCATTTCAGAAAGCTGAGAGCTTAAATGATTCAGGCTTACTTAAATTTTATATTTATATTGTACACCAATAAATTGCTAAAGCACACAGTTTTTTTCAAGTTAGGGATTGTCGTGAGTCTGGAATTGATCAAATATCTTTCTTTTTAAACAAGAGCAACTTTTCGTTACTAAATTTTTGCGACAAGAAATTCATAACGGATTCGTTTCGTTATGCAAAGGCACACATACTTCAGTATGTGAGAATGCATGCTATACCCGTTCTCAAGGCATTTGTTATGTAAGATTGAATATCTTTACAGAAGGCTCAGGGAACTCGATTGATTCCTGGAATAAATTAAATGGAGGTAAAATGTAATAAATGAAGGGAAAAATGTAACAAAACGACAACAGCATAAAGAATGCATTGAGCACTACAATAATGAACAGTAACGTAGTTAAAGTATTGCCAACGCGCAATCATGTGCACAAATGGAATACAATTTTTATAAAAATTGGAATACCAATTTAGAGTTTCTTTTTTTCAATTTCGGAGAAAAATGTTATAAAGCATTAGGCTTTTTTCATTCTTGACTTACGGTTTGTTCCTTGATTCAAAATTGGCTTAATGGCCGGTGTTCAAATGCAGGTTTGTTGGTACAGCAAAAAATGCTGCAGTTTTGAACGTTTGTTGCTCAAAGTCCATTTTAATTACTTATAAATCACCGTATAATTTAACCATGACAAATAATTGCGCATCATATGAATAGAATGTTTCTGTAGTAAAATCTTAATTGTTACAGGAAATCTTTTCATGAAATGATGTCCTTGCAATAAATTTGTGTTTAGAATCCTGCGCCAAATAACCGCAGCGTTGCTTTGATTTTTCCATGCAGCTTGACTCTTTACAAAGATTTTGTTTACAAAATTCTTTGATTAACTAATACGGCATATTCTTTTTGTCCTTTATAGGGGCCTACATCGATCCATCGTATGAAGAGGTTCTCTGCAACAAAATTTTATGTGATCCCCTGAATTTTATTACAAAAATCTCATCATAAAAAATTGGTGCTTGCA